TATCTTTATCTATCACTTGCTTTGGTTTTCCTCGTTGATTTTAATATAAAACGGATCACACTCGGTGATTCCGCAAAAGGCTTGACCCAAGCTAAGTAGAGTCCACCTCATCCAAATTTAGGTTTTGGATCAAGTCACTCCTAAAAACTGTCATACTTTTATGGTCCCTTCACACCGGACTTGCGATCTTACTTCGCTCCCTGAGCGACCTTGAACGCACAGCAAACAACATGGACGCCGTAGGGTCGAGTTGAGAACACCTTAGGTCGCCTAAAGGACCTCATCAACACCCCAGGACGCGGAGTCACGGCGACTATTTTGAACACTCTTTTTACCTATACCATGCTTCAAATCCCTTGGCCATTTTGAAATACCTAGGAAATGACTGTTTATCTTTTGGACATGTAAGAGCATGTTTGGCTTTTTTTTTTATTTCATTACTTCTTTACTGTATATAAGTGTAAGAAAAGTATTTGCAGGAATAGAAATGCGCATATGTTTTACATATAAATTTATCAACATGATAATAGCCAAAAGACAGAATTTGATTAATGGTTTTCTGCAGATTTTTCAAGATCCTTTAACATTTTCATACTCCATTTCTCAGTGGTATATCTAGATTTCTGAACGATTTTCACACGTGTACCCCGCACACTTATTTGCGTCATTCATTTGACAATTACCATCTTGAAGAGTTAACGACTGTACTTTGTAAAACAAATTTACTGCAGAGAGGCGAACTTTTTTTCTGTAATAAAATTTTGAATGGCGCGTGCAGCTAGTTCCCGAAGCTATCAACTTACACCACAAACGTCGAGGGGTTTTCAAACGCACATTGTGTGCAAATCAAGACGGTTTTAAAGATTTTTTGTGTGTATGAAAGCTCTTGCCGAATGATGGAAATATTTAGAAAACGTATAAATGAGTCATTTAAATAATGGAGACCCGATGTGTATGCTTTGAACGTATGCTGCGAATCGGATCAAATTTAAAACAGAAGCCGAAATTGTTCTTTGATACTTTTACACTAGAGAGCAACTAGAACATGCAACATATTTGAGCCGCGTCATGACAAAACCAACATAGTGCGTTTACGACCAGCATGGATCCAGACCAGCCTGCGTACCCGCGCAGTCTGATCAGGATCCATGCCGTTCGCTATCAGTTTCGCTACTTGTAATAGAGTTTGAAGGCGAACAGCATGGATTCTGATCAGACTGCGGGGGTGCGCAGGCTGGTCTGGATCCACGCTGGTCGCAAACGCATTACGTTGGTTTTGTCGTGACGCGGCTCATTTGCTGTTGTGTCGGCTGCGTTCTGTGAGCGTCGCCTTTGCCTTGTTGGTCTTTCTTCTCATTTTTATATGCAACATATATGCTAATTGATTGATTTTAAATAACCACGCTAAAAAGCCTTTCCTTCATCCGTAAACAATCTTTGCAAATTCATGCAAGTCGTTGAAAATATTATATACGCTTTCTATATGTATATATATTTCTATTTCCGGGTTATACTCGGTATCAAAGCCATTTTATTCATTTTAAAGTAACATTTTTACGGCACGATATTCATGAAGTCCAATCATGTGTAGCAAAATTTGCCCGTGGAAGCGTTACGAATTTCATATGCTTATTTTACAATATAAAGTTTCGGATAACTTCGGATAATTTCCCTTTCCTTGTGTACATTAAATGTCTGCCTTGCAGGCAAAATGTGCAGAATTGAAACTTTTACTTTCTATAGATACTGCTCCGTATGATATTGGCAAGCTTTCGTAATTCACACTGAGGCCAAATTATATTTTACTATGAAAATTTCTGGGAAAATCTAGGAACTATCTTAGCAGTTTGTTTTTTCTTCATTAGCTACACAATTTTCTAGTTGTTATCGTAAAACGTAAAAGTTTTTGATAAAGGTTGCATCTGTTGTAAGTTAAAATCGGATCATTGCCCATTACTTCCCTTTAGAATTACCCGGAATTGAAAAAACATCGGAATGTTCTTATTCTTTAACTGTCTCCAACTAACACATTCTTGTGTGATACGTGAAGCTGTATGAAAATTATTTCATGGAAAAACGTGGCATTGTTTAAGATTATTAATGAGAATATTTGATAGTTATTCATTGTTTTTGCACCTTTGTCTTATTTGTACTTATTTGACCTAGTTTCTGACTGCATTGCAAGACAAAAAAACGCGCCTTCACAACAACACCCCTTTAACTGGCGTGCAAAAGGTCCTCTCATGCACAAGTTGCAATTTTTATTTCTAGCTCAAAAATGTTCTACAGAGGTCATTCTAATGTATGTACACAACGTACATGACATACAAAAACATCCCTCTGATCCTATATCATACACTCTATAAAACTGCTGAATTAACAGCCGAAAAATGATATATTTCATAAGTAAATCTGTTTGATAAATGGCATAAATCAAAGTGAAATTTGCACAGTTTTTGCGTTCATCTGAGTTAAGTCTGCGCATTTTGATTAATGTTCATTTCAATTAATCTATGTCGTAATGTTACCCCTTTGGGAATACGCGCTCTTAATGAGATTCGAAGCACTTTCATATTATACTCTTTCCCTGAATTACAAATTGTTGCATTTCTTTTTTCAAAAAATGCAAAAAATCTCGTCATTTGAGAGAAACACTTGTCGAAAGAGTAATAAATTGTTATTTGTGCGCTATGTACTTGCCGCCATGCACGAGCCGCGGTGAACGCGCCACGTGCCTGGAACAAACAAACGCAGAGACACAGATGCTTGCATAATATATCTTGACATAAACTTCACGTTGTGAAGACCATTATATGTTCTTAAGAGTTTTCTCTATTTTTATTGTTATACGTAGAATGTGATTTACCCGTCTGGGAGATCGTGCAAGATAATACATTCTGAAGCGTGTGAAAAATACCAAACACTCGCAGATTCTCTCTGATAAATTATTGCTATCGTAAAATCCCGTTTTGATAACTAGAGGAAGTTTTGTTCCTACTAGGGAAATGATATGTACTCATCCAGGCTGTTACCCGGAAAGTTTAGCTAGATCTAAAATAAAAAAAAAACTTATTCTGACCGAGATTTCAGTTAATTATTTATTATTTGCAAGATACTGTCAACATGATTTACTAGACACCATCTCATTACACGATATAAAAAGCTAAAGCTAATATTTGCAATGTCATTTCTAAATAGTTCTAACCAATTACTTTGCCCTCGGCTGGCCAGAAGCATTTGAGGTTAAATTGTATGAAACAATGCAGAATTGAAATCTAAATAAAATGCAATGAATTTGCTTAAAACTTGAGACAATATGTGTTTCATGGTAAAACCAAAGCAATGCATCTATTTAACAATTTTCCTAGACAATTTTATAACTATGTAATTATTATATAAATTAAGATATTTTGTTTCTGACTGACGTTGTGTAATCTACCATTCAATATTATAATTGACGTGATCATCTAATTTCAAACCGTTGACATTTAACATTTAAACTTTATTAAACGCTTTTTGTTATAAATACAAATTATTTTGTATTTTGGCATATAGTTTGGCCATAACGCCATACTTTACATTATGCTTCTTTTTGGCTATTCCATCACACTACTTTTAGCCATAACATGTCATGATATTTTGCCATCAAGCTTATTTTGGCCAATACATCACAATACTTTTAGCTATTATACTACATGTACTTTGGTCATTACATCACAATATGTTTTGTGACAACATCACCTTACTTTTGACCACTAATTTTGTCCATCAGATTACTTTCCTTGTAACATTTCATCGCACTTCTTTTGGACATTTCATTACACCTCTTTGGCCATTTCATAAAACTACTCTGAGCCATTATATGGCACTTCTTTTGACATAACTGTTTACTTCATTTTAACGTTACATAACACTCCATTTCTACAATTATATTACACTACTTTTAGCAAACACATCACACTACTTTTGGCCATGGCATTATACTATTTATGCCATTACAACAGACTAGTTTTGGCCACTGCATCACATTTTAAGTTTCACCAATGCATCATATTACTTTTGGTTATTACATCACACTATTTTTGGTCATTACATGAAACTTCGTTTGACCTGTACATTACATTTCTTTTGGCAATTATATTAACACGGTCGTGAATGCGCACTAATTTTTTCGTAATAATGTGAAAATTATCTTTAGTCATTACTCTGAACTACCCAAAATAAATGGTATACAGTATGTAACTTTGATAATATTAAACGAATTTCTGGCCTGCAAAACTATAAATGCTCGTTATGTATAACTTGATATAGCATCTTACCCAGACAGAGATGAAGGGTTATTTTATTGGACTGTTTCTGTCCATTGGGTAATTCTTTATTCAGAGCTTCGCTTGATGTTCTAAGATAATGACGCTGTTAGTTATGACATATTAACCTATTTACGATAATATACTATGTCATCTGTCAGTAGGTTTAGGTAATATTTATATGAATTAATTTCTAATAAACAATTGTACATATGTGAAGTTGTAGATCTGTGAAAGCCAAGCAATGACCTACAAGTTGTTTTAACTTTTTTAGCTTTTTAAGAATTTTTAAACTGATGATGCTTTTTCCTGGTTATCTTTGTTTTTTGAAAGTTTCATGTTTCTTTCAATTCTTTTGCACTCACATGAATATTTTACAGGAAAATGTGAGCTTCGTTTGAAGAAAAAAAAATAAATTTAGCCATAAATCTTAATCATTAGCAGAAATCCGAAAAATTAAATTCCTTGATTATAGCTGGCTGGAAATAACCGCGCGCGCAATTCAGTTAATGAGGCGAAATATTCTTAAACGAAATCAATATATCATCATAAACAGTGTTGTGTTTAAAAATAAGTAATGGGTATTTGCAGATAAACGTCCTTCATTATTACTGAAAAAAGTGTCTAAGATTTGTTTTTCATATTTATGCTATCATGATCTAATTAAACTTACTATATGATCAACTTACGTACAGACAGAGCTCTCTGCAATACATTATTCTCCATTTTGTCTCCTTCCGCGCCGAAAATATAACTTTCATTCCGGGTTTATATTGTTGTTCGCTTTTTATCTACACAATGTGGTGCACACGCTGCTTCAATGCATGCCTCAAAGTCTTTGAGTCTTCAAAAATTAAAGTCAAGGTCTTGAAACCCTGGGAAATGCTGGTACTCATTTGCACGGCAGAAATTGGCAGCAACCCCGAGCCATTTTATTGCACGTAGTATTGGAAAGTACGCAAGAAATCTTTTGTGCAGTTCCCATTGGCATTCCGAGGCAAATATCAAAAGAATCTTTGAAAAATGTAGAACAAAAAATAAAAGAATGCTACTATTACTGAATGGCTGTAAACATGATGAAATGAGCCGCGTCACGACAAAACCAACATAATGTGTTTGCGACCAGCATGGATCCAGACCAGCCTGCGCATCCGCGCAGTCTGATCAGGATCCATGCTGTTCGCTATCAGTTTCTCCACTTGTAATAGAGTTGGTAGGCTAACAGCATGGATCCTGATCAGACTGCGCGGATGCGCAGGCTGGTCTGGATCCATGCTGGTCGCAAACCCATTATGTTGGTTTTGTCGTGACACGGCTCAAATTATAAAGCAGATGCGATACTGCATGCATAGGAGAGTTACTAAATTTCTGCGTAAAATTGCAAACAAATATTTGGCACGCGAGCAAGAAATCTACTATCGTCAAGGAAGAAAATATGTGGAGTGTTTTGGCATTTGATCACGTGATCAAACAAAGTACTTATGTACCTCTGAAGTTTTCCTTGAGATTTGAATTACGCAAAGCAATCTGATTTTTTAAAAGCATGTTATTTATACAAGAACAATCGAAACTTAGTGATTTGCTGAGTGATCTATGGAGTGGTACCTTTCTATTTTTGACTGCTGTAGCATGCTACACTCCTCATCTCAACATGTTGTGTACTTTCGGGAATAGAATATGATGCGTATTCTTTGCATATAGAAAACAAAAACTCGGACCCTTGTGAAAGAAAGAAGTTCGGCTGCTCAGAAATTCAGCATAAAAACAACAAAAATAACAAACGGTGCTTTATCACGTGGGGAAAATATTGTATAATTTTTAAACGTTAGAAAATTAATACCGTGAATTTCTTAAAATAAGGATTGCAATAAAACTTGTTTGGAAAAGGTACATGTTTCGCAATTGTATCATATTGAATTATATTATTACCGAGTGAATGTAAATACGTCCAACACTGATAGACCGGACTCTAGTACCTGTGTTTGCACTCTTTTCTGTCAAATTATCAAAATTTAGCAGCAGCAAACAATTCTTACACTTAAACGCAATCAAGTTAATAGAATCACTGGTAATCAGTATTGATATTGTTCTATGCACCTTCTTAACCTTGTTTATGACAAAGCACGCGTTGACCTTCAAATTAAAAGAGGTCAATTTCAAAAATAACAAGTACGGTTACGACGCCATATCGTTAAATTCCTCGTTTTATGTCAGTTATGAGATTTACTATCTCTGAAAAATATCACAAAACAGATCTTATTCAGATTCAAAACTGCTTTTCTGTATTTAATATTTGATTTGTTTCTCTTCGAACGCGTTCCAGATTCTCGTGTGATAATTAGTATTAAAGTCTTACATTCACCCCGGGATATAATAGACTTTTTTTAAACATACAGAAGAGAAGAGTAAATAGACATTGTAATAACATATTACAATAATCCGGGATTGATTATAAGCCAATTTCTGCCGTAATTATACTCACGGTTTATGGAACGGGCACATATAAATTACCGTATACATGATGGTTATACATCTGAAATTTTAATAAAAAATGGCATATATATAAATTTATGAGATTACTAAACAAGTGAAATTTGAATATAAATGTTATTTCACCATGATATTAATCTAATAAGAAGAGAAGATAACCTGCACTTTCTATAAATCCGGGTTCAAATGTAAAAATAGAGCACTGGCATTATAAAATCATTTTGGGATTGTTCGGGAAAACGTGTGTTGGCGTTGTTAGCGCTCCATATATATGTATAAGCTCGTGTCAATTGTTTCCGGTCAGTATGGGAGAAAACATCAAGTCCTGAAGCTATTTGTTAGCCATTGAAGTTACAGATAAACCATAGATGGTAGTTTGCACTGACTTATTTAAAACAGTATGAATAAGACTTAGTGTTTACAACCATCGCACCGACGAGTAGGGGTGCAATCTCGTTAAGAACAATTATATGTTATGTCTCGTTCAATAAACTATGGAATATATTTTCATTATGTGTGTACCAACGTGTCCCGTTTCTATGACTTAGGAACGTTACATGCTTGGCAAGTCAGTATAATTATACTAGTCTATGTGATGTTGTAAGTGGAGATCATTATATATAAATGTAAGTGCAGTTCTAGTCCTCTTGAATATTAATACAATATTTCATATCATGAAATACAATGATATTGGCAATTTACATTTGCAATTTACATTCTATTATCATAATGATCCAAGTCACATTTGCAATTTTCATTGTATATAATCACCATGTTGGTTAAATTTTACATTTGCAATTTACATTGTATACATCATATTGACCAAATTTTACATTTGCAATTTTCATTGTATATAATTACCATGTTGGTTAAATTTTACATTTGCAATTTACATTGTATACATCATATTGACCAAATTTTACATTTGCAATTTACATTGTATGTATCATATTGATAAAATTTTACCAATAACATTGTATATATAATACTGGTCAAGTGTTACATTTGCAATATTGACAAAATCTGGAACAGGGAAATCTGTAAAAAGTGAAATGAAAACAATAAAAATATGTTGAAAATTGCAGATTTTGGTTGATAAGCCTGTTTATAAAATACTAGTACCTTGGAAAGTGCAACACCTCTCGTAACCACAACACTGACTCCAGCAGGGTTCAATCCTCGATAATCAATATTGAAGCAGAAAAAAACCCACAAAAAACATCAATATGAAGTGGGGCTCTGTCCTGGCTTCTTAAGTCTGTTGTTGTGAGTAAAAAAATCTAAATATGGAAAATGGCTCAGGGACAATCAAAACAAGAACAAGTATATCCTGTAGTTGAAAATCGCAGACTCACGTTTTATGAAATATGTTGATATAAAAATGAAATCTGCAATATCTTTCAGGCCCGCCTATTTCTTTAAAAAAAAAACAAATCCTTTGATAAATAATTACCGCATTGTAACGGATGTTTAAAAGATGTTCGTGACTATATTCTAATTTTCACAATATAAATACAGCTTTACTGTATACATGTATATACATAACCGTTTAATTATTAAATGAATGTTATATGCTTTGAGGTCTTTTTTTTTCCTTGAGAGAAATTTGTTACATTTTTGCATTATGGGTATTTCAACTCATTGGAATAAATGACTGATAATTGATATGTAAAATAATAAAGTGTAAGTGGCGCCACACAAAGAGTACTGCCGTTAATATAAGTATTATATGAACAAATAAAAAACCGTAATGTATTTCGTTTAATTACCACAATGATAACTATTAATCAAGTGTCTGGTGCTTATTCTAAAAGTATTATTGCATTTCATAACAGACAAATTAAAGACGCCGTTATGTTTTTTACAGCACCGTGGCTTATAGATATGAAAACCCGTTTTTTGTTGATAATCAGTGACGTCTAGTAAGAGATGTCGTTTATCAAGAGTTGTAATTTATACTGTGTATTTACTTGATGATGATAATTGGGAAATATTATGATATAATTAAATTACATGTACTTCAGACAGAAAATCCATTAGACTTAAAGTTAGAGGGAAAATGCTTTGATGAACGGTGCTATTATATTATTATATTGTCATAAAATATAAACATTAAAAGTGCATCTTTTGTAAAATGTTTACTTAGTTCATGTAGTATTAAAATAGAAGTAAAAAAAAAAGAATAAATCATTGGTTTTATCAAATATTTAAAGTTGAAACTAAGTAATTTACCATAGATTCATAATTTATCATTCGAAAAATTGCGGACGATGTCATTTTAATTTTTCTTTTTACTTGAAGATTATCTTGAAGATTATCAGTGCGGGCCTTAAAGGAGAAATCCATGTTGGATACATCCCTCAAATATCTAATTATTTCCACATTTCAAAATTTATCTGGAAAGGCCATTGTTTCATTTTGTTTGTGTTTTAATAACGATTATTATTATTATTATCAGACATTACAGAATATATTGTGTCACTACTGCATGGAACTAGAAAAACCGTACCGAAATTTATATAATTATGTTCCCTCTTAGACCCCATACTTCAAGAGCAACTTCTTAAAACTTCAGTTAAGTTACTAATGCCATCTGCTTTTGCTTCAGTACTAGTAATAGATGTCAACTTACTCAAGTGTTATATCAAATAAATAAATAAATTTTATTCGAAAATCACTCACCCCATCCCTTGATAAGCAGTTACCCCAATACTCAAGACAATGTGTTTCTTCTAGGAGGTTAATAAATTATCTTATTTCATTTCGTATATGCCACAAACACCGTCTTGCAAGTAATTGTGCAATATATTCGTGTTATCGGTAAATATCTACTGCAAAAAATAATTTTATTGCGGATCACACCTCCGTTAATTAAGATTTGTGATGATATAGAATACGAAGAAAAATGCTACAAAAACACCCTAACAATTCCAGGTACGATTCCACGAAATGGCGTTATAGTTAACATTAATAACTTCAATGAAACGTCTGCACGTAACAATTAATTAATCAGAGCCGGTGCACGGTATAAAACATTTACAATAATATATACTGCTGCGGAAAATACGTTTCCAAATCATGCAACCATGCTGGAGGATGTAATAATAAATGCTTTCTAAACAATGCTTGTTCCTAGTTGCTTTTTGTTGTTGCTGATTTTGTTGTTAAGTATGTATAAGATTTGTGTTTTTCTTACTTCTGTAGCTTAAGAGAATATATTTCTAATGCCGTTCTTTGAGCATCATTAATTCAGTTTTTGATATGTCTATCAACATAGCAAGTTTGTTTTACAAGTTATACTTTAACTCAAAAGGTCTAGCAATTATAACACAGACACTGTGACTGTTTTAAAAGCATGTTTCTTAATTATAAATTCACATTCTGGTGTTTGAGTACAATTAAAGAGAAATGAACGAGGTGTGCAAAGAAGTGAATAAAGCGAGATGCATTTTTTAACACAAAGGTGATTCCATTTTTTAAAGAACAAACATGAAAAACTGTTTATACTCAAGGGAAAACAGTCAAACACTAATATCCGTGATTGATGGAACAGCGCGGTGTCTTTCAACAGCATTTCTTAGATAATTCTTATCGGAAACAATAACACATTAAATATGAAAACATGTTTGCTTTTTCAGCAACTTTAGTATGCAAGAAGTAATCAACGGATTATCAAGGCATGCAAAGATGGCGTTCTTAATCAGGGAATCAGGACTGGAACACGCCATGCCATACTCTTAATATTTATGATCGTCTATGCAATTCCAATGACCAAGTACATTTTTCAAGGGTAGTTTGGTAAAATGTATGGAATCACGTGAAAGTTGACCTGCACTGTCCGCGTGTAATTTTACAATTAAAGCGGTTAATCTTTAAGGAAGGGCATAATTGATATGCACTAATCTTGTGTCACACAACAGTAAATTCTTTTAATTTTGAGTTGGTTCCCTTTATTACGTAAACGACATTTTTACAAAAGTTAGTTCCCTTTATTGCCTATACGTCTTTTGCACTAATGAACAGTTACCAATTTGACTCTTTATATGCATCATTAATAAATCTAAAGTAAGTATGTTTTAATTTAAATTAAACAAAAGTTTATTTGTAATTTGGACATGTATATAATTCTGATGTAAAATTTCATATAAATGGTAACTCATATTTACATATCCATTATTTGCAGTGAATTGCATCCCAGTATTCATTTTAAAAGAACTTTACGTATCTATACTTGTGACAATCAGTTTGATGTTCATCTTAAATAATAAAATTATTCAGTCCTGAATTGTATGACATTTGATATCCTGCCCATGTCTCTCGTACATCAATTTGATTTCTAAAGAAGAGTTACAATGATTAATAGCAATTTATTAGACTTATTAAAGAATTCTTTGTTTGTTTCAAATTCCTTCATTCCCGACTTCTATTTAGAACTGTCGCTCATGTGATTGATTTCTCACCTTACATAACATGAAATTTTTTCTTTAAAATCATGCAGTTTTCCAAAAAAAATAATCTAACCCCAGCTTAATATTTACTTCCAAAAGTAGCAATTTTAGATTAAGCGATATTTCTTCACAAAATCTAGAGGCTTAGGCCTTTTCCCAAACATGTGCATTCATATAAGAGTTGAAAAGAAATTATTACCCCTTTACAACATAACTTTTCAAAATGGAAGGGGCGCATGGCCAAATTACCTAGTATGATTATGCTTTAATTTATATTTTGAGGATGTTCAAGCTATTATTAAAAATATAGTTTACCTTTGGGGTATATACAAATATATTTACAGGCTTATAACTTATATAGATATACACTTAGCATGAATTGTAGACCAACAACTTTCATAACTGGAAACATACTTCAATGTTCTCAACATCTTTCTGATATATTTTTCTTTGAATATTGTCATACTTCAAGTTTTAGCAAGAAAGACCCCTTAAAGAGTTTTATAATTCTATTTTTAACACGTTAATTTCTTTGCAATAGAATATGATACTGTGTGATTATTGTCAGAATGTATTTACACATAACGTGTTCATTTTAAGTGTCATATGATATTGTGTTAATAAACTTCTATATTATATCAAAGCGGAAACTATACTTTAATATAAACATGTAATATGACTGTTCTCCTTGATATAGACGTGTGTAACATATTCTCTGTTTGTTTGTTTTTCAAATTTGTTAAGTTATTAGGGTGTTTTTTGTTTGTTTTTTTTTTGCTTCTGTACAAAAGGACAATATGCCAAGTTATGTTTCTATATAAAAGGGCAATGTACCTTGTAATGCTTCTGTAAAAAGGACAACTTTTTATGTTATGCTTCTGTAACAAAGGGCAGTGTGTCATGTTATGCTTCTGTAGAAAAGGCAATGTACCTTGAACATTATGCCTGCGTAGAAAAGGACAATGTTCCGCGTTATGCTTTTGTGACAACGGGCAATGTGCCATGTTATGCTTCTGTAGAAAATGGCAATGTCACATGTTATGTTATATTCTACATAGCACGTAAAATGTATTCAGTACACGCACATATTTTATATTGATAGCCAGTGCTTTGTAAAATTTGCAGAGTTCATTTCCTTGATTTAGAAACGCCATTTATGACAAGCGGCACTTTATAAATAAATATAATTACAAAAAAGACAATGTTGATATATTTATAGATCTAGTTTCTGAATATTGATATTTAACTGTTTATTCCATACGGAATATAATTAACTAATAACTAAATGAGTTAAATTTCATCGAAGTATCGACAAACGCACTTAACCTTTTATGACAGATTGCTAGAGCAAGTCCTATTAAAATTAGATTAATAGCTAACCTAGTAAGAACTTGGCTGATCCAATTACAGACGCAGAGTAAAATGGATATTCGGTTCAGGGTACCATATACTATGAGACTTCAATTATATGTGTCCTGAGTTCAGGCGACAGCTGGTCAGACCAAAATTTCTGGTAGTTTTTCGGATAACGCTGGCAAGACAGTTCATAATTTAGGTTTGTTTGTTTTTCTGGTTTTATGTTTTCTGGTATGTCATGAAGAGTCAGGACCTTTAATTAACTATCAATTCATTCTTAACCCATGAAAATGGTTTAACTATAACCCACTATAACCCGCTATTTGTGAAAATTGTGCATTTCACTAGTTTACGCATTTGAATAAATACATGTTTTTGTTCATGTTCTATACTCAAACTATGTGTTTAATATTCAAAATGGAATTATAATTCTCGATTAACTGAAATAGATAATAATTTATTAAAATATTGATAAAGTAAATTATTTGATTTATGCACGGATTTATATTACATATATATGTAATATAAATCCGTGATTTATGCAATCGTCATAGTGCATTTAAAAACACATTTCACTTAACGGTATTACAATTCCGGTCGTAACCGCAAAATATGATAATCAGTTAATAATAATAATAATAATAATAAAAATAATAATAATAATAATAATAATAATAATAATAAAAATAATAAAAATAATAGTAATAATAATAATAATAGTAATAACAATAATAATAATAATAAAACATTTTAAAAAAAACTAAAAAAAAAATTGGAGAATCCGGGTATCGATCCCGGTACCTTTTTTTCACATGCTAAGTGAGCTCTCTACCACTTGAGCATAATAATAATAATAATAGTAATAATAAAACATTTAAAAAAAAAAACTAAAAAAAAAATATGGAGAATCCGGGTATCGATCCCGGTCCCTCTCACATGCTAAGCGAGCGCTCTACCACTTGAGCTAATTCCCCTTCATATTGATTGTCACTGAAATAGCGTGGTGATTCGTTATAAGTTGTACATGTGTCAATTTCCCGCGTATTTCAAGGGCCCTTTTATATTTTGTCGAGTTTAAAATGGATAAATGTTTGCTGTGTCATTGATAAAATCATATGGTGATAATCCTGTTACATCTTGAACAAAATTTTAGTTGTAAATAATCTAAACAGCTAGAGCTTGAGTCGTGATTCTCGTTATCTCTACTGTATTGCTCTAGCTTTTCACCTTAATTGTTTTCATTTTATTCATTGTTTAAACAGTAGATCTAGAAACTTGAAGAGCCAGACCCCTATTTAAATAGGATATAGAATCTACATGTATTTTAATTCGAAATCTATTTGTTTGTACTATTTTATAAAATGCTTCATTCTGTATCTTCTGGACACCGGGAAATCAAGATAAATATTGAAAAGTAGATCTAGGCCTATTTCAAATGATAAACCATTATGACATGATATTTCATTTATAAAGTTTTTAATGGTAGATCTGTCAAATGAATGAAAAAAAATTATTCTTCGTAGATCTATATAATTAAGTAGATCTATTAAGATTCAATATTTATTCTACGTGTAGAAGTCTTACTGACCATAGTGATACATCTAATTCGAGGTTAAGCCCATTTAGAAAATATGTAAAGTGTAATGCTCTTTGTTCTCATCTAACATTACAAAATAATGGATATTAGAAATGGGTTTCAACTTCACTGAAAGAAGACCAAGGTTATTCAGGTGAAATTTTTACGAAAACCTTTGGCACTTGTTTTTCCACCACAAACGGCTATAAACATTATTTAAACGTGTGGACCCCTACAGATGTGTGAAAGAGGTAGGGGTAGGCGGCATATGGCTTATTACTTAACTAGCCTATTTTGTGTATTTGGTGAAATAGCTGTACATCACTGCTAGAATCAGGTACTTCGAGTATATGAATTCATGTTTCGCAGAAATTTGGAAATCATATATTTACGAGTATTTGAAAGTCGGATGAACATAAATGGTTTGATGGGAATCACGCGGATGCATCTAGTTTTTTTTTATTGTTCTATATACTTACGTTCTCGCCAATATTCCTATTTACATATGTACTTTTAATAGGGTTATGGTGACAACTTAAAAAAAACATTATTTCCGCGGGCAAAAATATATTGATAATATTCATAAATAAATAGGATTAGATGTTCGATTATATCGTCCCAAGGTCGGAACACAAATCAAACCGCGTGTATGTGTGTGTGTCTTAATTAATTGGAAAATATTCTAATTGTTATATCAAATATTGATACAAGAATATACTCTAAATAAATCATATTTCATACCGTATTCATTCCTAGTAATATTTGCTTAACAGATGAAAAATGCCGTGCGAGTTGTGAAACTTCGATACATGACGATTTTTATCGAGTCCTGAAGACTCATTTATCGTCCAATTCCAATATCCGTGCCCATTAAAGCGTGATAAGAATAGTGACAACTGAATTCCGTGACGTTTTAGTTCTGTATTGTTCTATGATTAAAGATTGTTTTGGCTTTGTTTAGGTATTTTTTTTTACTAATGGTCGTTCGTATAACAAGTACTCCGATTTATTTATATTGATATCAAAATGTAGCCCGCGTTCTGAAACTAGCCTGATGCCTTGGTTTGAACAAATCTGAAACTGGTGTTGTATGAGGGAACATGACCGTTACCTAGATAGGGTTGTAACCATCTTGATCAAAGGTTAGGTAGACACCTTTGAATTAACCATGGACTAAAAATATAATTCTTTTATCAGCTAAATATATATCATTCTAAATATTTGAAAAATAATGTAGAAAATTAAAATTGATTTATGAATTTTCTATTCATATTTCCTCTGGCTATTTTTTGCAGGATGGAATTTACGTTCGAATTGAAAGTATTGAAGAAATGAAGTGAAACATAGTTTTGAACGAGTGGGAAGGTCAAATATTAATTTTTATAATGTAAATAGGCGGTTACTGTCCTTTGATGTTTGTCATAGTAAAACCTCAATTTATAGGTGCGTATAGGTCTTGTTTTGATAAATTTGTTCTTTAAAAAAGCTGTGACATATCCTTGGAAACCACAAATGCTTTGCCAATATTTTAGGAACGCTGTGCGAGTGATTATTTCTGGCTCATTACATGTAACTATTCATTTAATGAACACTTTAACTACCAATTAAACATTTTATTATCTTAGGAAAAATGCACGATTTACGCCAAACATATTCCGCGTGTGCCTCTGGCGGGTATTTATCAGCAGAAATTTAAATTAATACGTTCTTGATATAATATATGTAATAAATATGTTTTAAGCATTGTTGCGCTTTCGACATAGTAATTTTACCCCAAGGGCGTACAAAATTCTGCAAATTACAGATCTTTTGATAAGGAAATAATTGTGTACACTTAATGACAACAAAAATGCAGATATCATAGTAATTACCCTTAAAACACAATTGTCTAAACAAATTGCGTTTCTGTCGGAATAAACAATATAACAAAGGTAAACTCAACTATCGACTGGTGAACTTTAAATAAACAGTTTATTTTCCGATGACATATTATGTTTAGCACTTCGAAGCTTAAGGGAATTAATTTTATAAGAGGTTGTAATAATCTGTGGGATAAGCATAGGTTAATCCTTGTAAATTTCACCCGATTAATAATGTACTAATCTTTAGTAAACCCCTTACTTCGAATCACGAGCGGCGGATTGGGTCGAAAAGTAGTTAGGACGAAAGCCAAGTTTTGGTACTACGCTAACTGCCAGTAGAATCTATTACGCCCCATTACTTTTCGCCCTTATCGAAAGGTTGTATCTAGTGTGTATTGTTAATTTGATTTGATTAAGATATAGATTTAGATTAATTGATCGTATCAGAGAGGGGTTAGAGAATGTTTGTTCTCTGTCTTAGAAACACACGATCCGTAATATAAATTAATATTGTTGATCGTATATAATTAAATGTAGCGTTTATCGGTAACATTTATCAAACCTACTAGTTCAGCAAAAATGTATTTATTTAAAAATAGGTATATGTTAATTTGCTTCGATGATAACGCCTAGAATAGAATTAAACTGATTAAAGTCTGCTTCTTTAATTTGATAAAAAAGAGAATGCACCGAAATTTTAACCTCAAGATATTTCCTTTAACACGCCAAACAGATGGTTTCTCATTCTAAACGCGGGCTTATATGCACGTGCAAATTGTAGCAGATGATTATAAATAAATGAGTTTTATTCTTCGTCAAAGTAAAACGAAAAGATTTTTAAAACAATTGTACGCAACCGTTAAGCAACTTAAATGGCTGAACAGTTTGACGTGCATGGAATAAATCTGTAAAGTAAAATAAATGTTTGTCACAAAATCACAATATTAGAAAGTGATTGTTTAAATGGAAACATCGTTTTGTTAGACACTTTAAATTGTAATTAGCATCAGCTGTTATATAAAGAAAGGTATGACATTAAAGTTTATTAACTTAAAGACATCTAATCAGCAGGGTTAAAAATCTTATGTATGTATCGTATATATATATTTCTTTTTAATCAAAAGATGGCATTGAGATAGATGTACGCCAACACAATACCTTCGCCTATTGATCGAATCCTTGGCAACTTACGGAAGAATTTATGAAAAAAGTGCGAAAGGATTACAATACACGGAAATAAAACAATAATAAAAGAATGGATATAAATATCTCACTAGATGTATACGATCATTGATTATGGGATGCACATCACTTGTAAAAGCTGTTACAGAAATTAAACCTGCTCATTCATTATTATTAATGTGTATACATTCCAGGAAAACGTTCATAAAATTTTGACTGCTAATCAATCCAATGATGCAATAAAGTTGCAGAAGGCCGATATAATAGCAAAAAGAATGCTCGGCAAGATAGTTTATATTATTTTATATATATTTATTTTATAAATCCATGATTTTTTGCAAGAATTTTGTTAAATTTTGAGACATATATCTTTATTACCATTGTGCGTGCAAAGTGCAGCAAAATTGCAAGCGATGGGCAAGGGATGCACAAATACTCTAATATATGAAAATGGTCGGCGCAATTTTTACAGCATGCCTGTAATGTGTAAAATTTAAAAGCAGGCATGATTTGTGAAAAAAATACAAAGTAGCAATATTGCCTATGGCACAACAGCCAAAAGCAGTGAGAGAGCTGAAATGTTAATATTTGCACTGAACAAAGACTGATGTATTGCGTAAATACTGCATTACAATGTGTGGAAAATAAAAAAGGTTAAAATAATCTTTAAATATGCAAACTAACTTTCCCAACATGTATTGGTACACTTTTTCATTACACCAAGACAGGGTCTTTCAAATAGAATTTCAAAGACCCTGACCAAGATCAGTTTTACAATAAGTAAAACGAATAATGGGGAAATTCACGTCTGCTGCTATATTTTAATGATTGCATACTTTGCAAAGCACCGTATTATAATGAATTTATATGTTTCATTTTCATAAACCGCTTTCAAAAGTGCGTTCATTTAACCCTTAACCTGCTAAATATATGTAATGGATTTGTCCAGTAATGAATTTGGACCGGTCCATTCAAAGTTTAAGGTATTTCAATATCAAAATTCCAACAACGAGCTACAACAAATTAGAGTTCCGGTTCCGTCAGGGCAAGGGTTTAATATCCATTCACTAGAGGAATAAAAACCATAATTGCGCATTTTAGATTATATGACATTATAACTATAGCACTGCAGGTGTTTATGTATATATTAACTCAAAAAAGGTTGAATAATAAAAATTGAATGAACGCGGGATCCATTAATTCGGCCATATTTTGTGAGAGAAAGGAAATGACTGTATTATTGACGGAAAGAAAAATTGCTTGCCGGAAAAATGGGTCAGACTTGAGCGAGCGCCATATGGCACCGTTATAAATCCCGTTTTATTGGCAAAATATTTATATGATGATAGTTGTTCCTGTAGCGTAAGTAGGCACGGGATTGTAGCTTGAGATCCTTGTTATGAAATACAACTTTGAAATCCACACAATGGATTAGTCTTTAACCGAAAACATATACATATATACACGTAATGTGTGCTTTTATGATAACAAATTGCTCCTATTTCATAATTTCAAAGATTTTCTATCTTAGTTATCGAGACCTCGCTGTTTTATGATGACCATCTTGAGACTTATATAGCTATAAAATATAGTTCCTGTCTGATGTAATTTTTATATCTAGCTGTAAAGGTTTTCTATGTAATGTAAAACTGCGGTAACTCGTCTTCATCTGTGATGATAGGGGATTGTTTGCACATTCAGCGTTTTTGTCTTATATGATTTTAACATGTTCAATTTTTGCAATGGACTTGCCCTGTTTTTAATATACTGGAACGTCCCATTGCCTGTTAAGAGGTAATATAACTTTAAAGCAATTCCAAACTTATATCTGTTGGTATTAGCTTGCCTTGTTGAGATTTGAAAGCAGACGGTAAATACCCATACCATATTCCATGGCTAGTGCTGTAACCGCAATTTGGTGCAGAGCTCGTTTGTACAAAATATGCCGGATACGCATTTTCTGCGCATTTGTTAATTATTGTTACCGGAAGTAACCATATGTTGATACTCAGTAACACCGATTTTTTTCTCTCTTAGAAATCTTTGATGTAAAAAGAGCTGTTTGATTAATACTTAAAATCTGGGAGCTAGTTCAGTTTTGGCCTTACTTGTATCACGGGTTTATTTTACAGATCCGTGCTTGTATCATTAGTGACACAGATTTAAAAGCGTTTGTGTTTTTGTTTTTTACAAGGGGAGACAAAAGTACTAGGTTTTTTTCTGTTGCACTTAAATCTGTATTATTGATGAGAAGTTTAGCTATGTTTTTTTACAATGCTAAAGTGGACTTGCTGAGAAGATCCCATCTCTCTTTCACTAAGACATTGATATCAACTGTCCTTGCGGGAGAAACCTTTGATGTGTTTTTCTTTCTTTTCAGATGAACATTTATATGGCTAGCACATCATTAACACACCGATTTTCAGATGTGTCTATGCAGTGCCGACTTATCTTTTAAAATAAAGATGCCATGAACCAGGTTTTGTCCAGAATGGGATTTTTCTATGTACTTTACACTGCCTGATCATCTCAAGAGATCGACTCCGGTATAAAACAAGAAGATGGATATATTGAAAAAATAGTCACATGTGACTTCTTTATTTAATCATGATATTCGTGAAATACCAATAGTAATAATTATATAAACAGTAATAACAGTTTATATACATCCTGGAACAATTGTTTTCTATAAATATACATAATATATACAGAGGACATCACAGGCGAAAAAATATGTAACATTACTAAGCTGTGGACACTCAGTGTTATTTTGTTTAAAGAAATTACGTCAAGAATGAGTGACCTTGCTCTATTCCTAACAACAAAAACTCAATAAACGTTTGGAAAATATCACTTTCCTTTTAGTCAAAACAAAAAAAAAACATAAATACTATTCAAGGGATTAATCTAAAATGTTTCTCTCATGAATCAAAATTTTCAACAAAAAAATGTCATAAACAAGGCAAAACATGCTTAAAGATGACCAATCATTACAATCATTATAAATTCTTTGAGTAAAAAAAACTTAAGGATAAAATTTTCTAAACAACTCTAACAGTATATGCATTCAATAAACTGTTGTCGTTCTTATATGGGTGTTTTTAGTAAAACAAAAATACTGTAAAAATATCTCTAAATCAAACAATTTGGACAAATCATTAACAAAAAGTCTTAAGAATAGAACAACTGTCAATAGCTTAGTTTATAATATGTTAACAATGTAGCAAATGGCACACTATTATGCACAATGTACTTTATGTTGATGAAAACATGAAAATACAAGAAATAATGAAATCAGTGAAAGATGACAGATAGAATGAGAAAATGATGAAATAATGACGTCATAGAAATGAGAATGAAACAAAAACAGATATGACTAAACTTTGTGACAGAAGTACAAAAAATGGCGACACAAAAAAAACGCATTTATGGACGAAACTTTTAATGGGCTTTGCCCAATGAAAATGGAATGACGGGAGACACGCCTGGTCACGTGATTCATTTTAACTGTGTATTCGCCTTTCTACAGCTTGAAATATACATATATCTTTATACTTATAATTAATCATTAACTATATGGATTGAATATTTTTCGTCTAGGATAAATTTTGTAGAAAAGAGGTTTGTCCAAATAGGCTGAGAGGAGAGAGATAAAATATTTCAAGGTTAAGAAGTTTCAAGGTCAAAATAAATTTCAAGATTGTTATAAAATAAATACAAAGATTCTAAATATACATAAAATCATCAAAATGCAAAACAAATCAAAAATGCACAAAAAGGGCACCAATTAAGTGTGTAAAATTAAAGAATAAAACCATTTTAAACTGTATTGTTCCTATTCTAAAGTGTATTTAACAATAAAGAAGGGGAGGGGGACAATTTTGATATATCATTTATATATGCCCTATATATCATATGTTAATCACATATCTTCGTATATTGTCAAACAATTAGCGTTTTTGTTCATCAATGAATTAACAAATAATAAATTTAAATAAATACTTTTAAGACTCAATATAAACATTTATTTTGTTGTTGAAGATTATCTTTGCAAAAAAAAAACATCCCTCTTACTTTAAGCACAGATCAAGATGTGGTCATTTTTTTGTCCAAAGTCTTATGACAATATGCAAATATATTTGATTCAACAAAATACTGAACAATTTTCATTAAGCAAAATCAAGCATATTCGTACAGCTATTAAGGTTGGTGGATACCTTAAACTTTATTTATAGATCAACAAAATTAAGGTATTTTAACAATTAAGAACAATTTGTGTACTATGTAAGTTAGTTTTCAATTAGATATTTGCTTAATGCAAAGGACTAGAGAAGCTTATTTTATAACAAACATAACAATAAATGTGTTTCTTCACAAGTTCTACAACGATTCTTTTTCTTTTTTCAAAGGTATCCGTCAACCTTAAAGTTGACCAAAACATTTCTACATAAATATCATACAAGTTAACACTGTACGACATCTAATATAATCTATGTATAATGTATGATGAATAAATTGTGGCCATATCTGCGAACATAAGTATTTTTGTATGTACATAATGTTTAATTAAGACCAGATTTCACACAACAATAATTATAAAGCTATAATTTTCAAAGCAACAATACCTCAGTTTATAAATGTCTATCTACTGTGGCAAAATTGCACCCAAAAGCACTAGTTTGTTTCTCATATAAGACCGTTCTATTGAACAATCTTCATAATTCTTCAAAGTCACATTATTTCGCGACCCTTTTTATTCACAGTTCAATATTTTCCTCAGCGCGGCCTAGGTCCCATCTTGAAAATTGAGCACTTGTGGATTTCTTAATGAATTATGACGTAGCAAGTGACGTAATGTTGTTGGTGCATGATGATTGATTTCTTACTCAAGTCAGCAGAAGGCATATTTTCGGAATTTGATGGTGCTATATGCATATCGATTTTGCATAATGATATGGCAATTTGTTTTGGTTGATATATAATTTCCCATTCAGTGGTATCAATTCTATTTTTGGTAACAACGCGATGACTTGATGAATACAATAACCATACAATCTAACTTCAAACCAAAATGCACAACAATCGAAAATGCTGCAGAAAAAACAAATGATTGAAAAATGTGAAAATGTCTTAATTTGTAACTGATAACACTGAATGTAAAATTATTTTTGGACGAATTTTGTTTAATTTCTTGTCATTTGACACTGTTTGTGTTCAAGATGACGTCATTTGATGACGTTAGCACGAATACCGTCACGTACCGATGCGATCTCCCAGAGACAGTGTGTAATCCACCCTTTCAAGGTTATGGTTTTGTGTAGCATGAAGTTTGCCATTTAATTTCTTTGGAATTGTTCTCTTCGAAAAAATGTCACACATACACATGCAGTCGAGCACACAAAGGCACTTGCAGGCTCACAGAATGACTAATTTATAATGAGCCGACATCTTCGGCATGTAGATATGTAGCTCCACGAAAACGAGATCTGTTTCGCAATAAATACATTTTTAAATACACTTGTTTTGCAAATCTTTTTTATCTTAAATAATTTAAATATATTGCAGTTCAAAGTCAAGATTGTCTAACAAGAGTATGACGTCACTACACTTCCGTTGCGAGGACGTCGTCTCCATAGTAACTACTGTGACGATGTGGTTCTTGGTGAAGTTGTGGCTCAAGAATTAATAATGAGTTTCTATTAATAGTGTCTCTGTTAATATGCTTGTCAATGTAATGGATGTCATGTGAACCTCGATAATCCCTGAAAGTATAAAAAAAGCACACATATAGCTTTACATATCATAAAATAGCATGGGCTTTCCATTAAACATAATATAATAACTTAGATAATAATCATAAACGTTTAAACTATCGTAAACGTATAACCTTGCAATGTTCCCCGACAAAGACGCTGTAACAGTTAATAATAGTAAAAATCACCCAATTATCTTTTTTCGGTGCCCTAGATTTTAGACAGAAACTGTACTTTTCTTTGTTCCTTTGCTGTAACAAAGGTTTAGCAATAGATAAACAAAAAGCATGGCGTATTTAATTGTGCTGCATAGCTCCAGAGAACACAAGTTCATAGCTCAGTGACAGATGTGGCTCGTCTCTGGAGCAATATAAAAATCACTGAAGTTTTACATCTGTATGTAAAACGTTAAGACGCGAGATTTTACAAGATTTACTCCATAGAAATACTATATCTGCAGGCAAGACAAAGTATCACTTTTTATGCTAAAAAAATCTATCGAAACGTATGAAAGGAAAGAGAAAATGTTTGTTTATTCCTAAATTACAATTTATAAACTGATGAGTCAATCATAATAGGAGTTTAGTAAAAATGAATTAAAACGGTGTAAAACAGAACTACACACTTAAAGAGCAAAAAACAATACGACAAAAAACACCCTTCCTTTGGAAGAATTCGCTATACACGCGGTCTTGCACGGTTGCCTTTTATTCCAGCATCTTATAAACCGATATCAAAACAAACAATGCATACTGGAAAACAAATTAGCCTTCTATTCTTATAATGAAGAAAACCTGCATGGAGAGCAATCTCTATCAAGATCAAAAAGCTGACAGCCCTTGTAAATGTACTTTATTCCACATAAAATCTCAAGACGTGTTTCATACAGCCTATAGTACCTACTGGTATTAATTATGAACCTGGATATAGGGGCAAACAGTGTCATGAGTACGAACGGTCTTTCTATGAGCAGAAACTATTATGACATTAAAAACAGAGCTATTCACATTCCCTGTGTCAGTTTCGTTTTGTTTTTTTCGACTTCAAGACTTTTCACATATTACTTTACCAGTATATTACTAGGGACTGTACGAAAATAAATTCAGAATTCAAAAAAAAAATTACGGCTCAGCTTATAGTTCAAATAGAGATATAAAAACTCTCTACACAGGAGCTAGCGAGCAACATGCTTTTGCTTTTTGTTGATTAAAACATAAAAAACAACATTGGTGACATTTCCCATACATCGTTATGAGGAACTTTTGGAATTTATTCCAGTATTTTTTCCAGCTAATTAACATAATGGAACGCTGCCATTTAATTAACATGTACTTTCAAATTCCACATGAAATGAAGCAATACGGCATATTTATAAAGAATGTACCTTTAAACAATTCAGGGCTTTATTTGAAACTTTAGAGTTATATACATTTCCTTCCATATGCATTGATGCATTGCAAAATTAAAACTTCCTAAGAAAACAAACGAGACAGTGTTATATTTTAACTAGTAAAATCGATACAAGAGAACAAGAGAAGAAAAAAACATTATTAAATAAATAAATAATGTGAATTCCTACCTGACATCTAAATTTGAAGGATCTATTGACACTTTCTCCTTTTCTAGTGACTTTGAAGTTTTCTCGTAGTCTCTATGTTTTGCGTGGACCTTCAGGTCCGGATTAAAAAATAATTGTTTATTATTAATTGGCTTATCACCAATATAAATAGAATTAGGCCTACTGCTTCTGTAGGACTTTAATGTATTAAAGTCTATGTCTTCATTTGATATTTTACTTGTTAAATTGGAAATGTTTGAACTACTTTGAGGGATTGTTGTGAATATTTTCGACTCCCTCAGTTTATTGTTTATGGAATTTTGCACATTTTCTTCTTCCTCGCGACTCTTAAGCGGCGGTGACCGTCTCTTCCGGCACAATAAAATGGTGACTACAATAATTATCGATAGCAATGGGATTCCTACACCTAAACACACAATCAACAATAACTGCGTCGTCGTAAATTCCTGTTCTTGTCCATGTTGTTCAGTAACAGTGACGTTATTTTTCACAGTCCTAGCTCCATTCTCTTTTAACGTTGTCGTCTGCAGTACAATACCATCCGTGCTTTCGCGCGTAGTAGTTTCAATTTGTCCTGGTAAATACTGACAATTTTTACCTGTGAAACCAGGCAAACACGAACAATGATAGTTATCAACACTTTGTTTGCACGTTGCGCCGTTTCTGCACGGGTTACTTGCGCATTCATCAATATCCACTTCACAAAACCTCCCGAAGAAGCCCGGCCGGCACGTGCACGTGAAATTATTCACTAGGTCCTTACAAGAGCCGCCATTAGCACACGGTCTCAGTTTACAATCGTCAACATTGGTTTGGCAGAAATCACCTACAAATCCAGGAACGCAGCGACATTCAAAATCATTGATTTTGTCCAGGCAGACGCCGTTGTTTTTGCACGGTTTGTGCGTGCAGTCATCCACGTTCGTTTCGCAATATTTGCCACTGAAGCCGCTTTCACATACACATTGAAAGCCATTGACTTTATCGATACACCGTCCATCTGAAAGAACAAGGAGAAAAGAACGATTAAATGGAAATTCGTGGTATTAAAGTTTCATTTCGATGTAGCAAAATGTACAGGAGCAACCAGACGTATGTTTAGGTAACCTTATCAATTTACAAATTTTCTTAAAAGTGGTAGGACAAGCCTCATACAGCAGTACAGATCTCCCACGATCAGGCTACATGTCTAATCATTGTTTTATCGTAGGTGTCGATTGGTAAGGTATGATTCACGAGGATATCAAAGAAAATTTCCAAACAACATTCGTGATTCGGTTATTACTTTCCTGTTTAGATGTATAAAGTGGGAAGTCTCTATTTACTTTTCGTTATTTTGATGTTTATATTTTCCGTAAGATGAAAAACGCCATTTATCATCGCTTCCCTTTCTCATCGGTTTTTCCACGCGCCATTTGTATTTAATTTCGGATGAATATATGTACTTAAGTAAACGTATTTTCATTGTAATGGATCGTAATTTTTCATCTATCATTCTAACTAACTATTGACCAGAAAAATAGAGCAGCCATAAACTGTAACATAAATATAATGAAATTACGGTCAATCAATGATTTAACCGCAAACCAATTGTCGGGCGCGGAGACTGGCCATAGCAGGTGGCGCTTCGCAATTCAGTTGACTGTCACACTTAAGCATAACAACCCTGCCGAGTTGATTCAATATCAATAGACGCATATGAAGTTATTAAATGAACCTGCGGTTTCTAATTAATCAATACAGCTTATAATGTTAAGTGTTTCACAATAATCATTTTTCCATTTTTACCGTAGCCGGTGGAATGGAGCAAATAGCAAAACAACCGAAAATCCTTTCGGTTTGCAGGAATATCATTTCTAATTGCCATACAGAAACATGAGGAAAATGAAGGGAAAGCTTACATGTTCTGTTTTGTAGTGTTATGCAGTAATGTTCATTAATATACTTGTGTCGTATGGCTTTTTTATTGAACAAGAAAATAGATGGTGTCAGCTTGCAAACGATTACTACATCACCCAAGGCCTACTACAATATGGCAAAAATTAATTTTTCATGCTTTACTACCCTGGAAAAATTGTTTACAATGACAGTTTCAATTGAACAAATGTTGCAACCATTATAAAAAAAGATTGTTTTCAATTGTTGTTGTTTATCATTCACAATGTGCAGTTGAAGGAAGAGTTAATTTCCGATTACAAAACATATAAGTACATTTGTCCTTGCATAACAATCGTATCATACAGAATAATCCCAGGGGCGTGGTTATAAAATGACATCACTAACTGCCTATTTAAAATAGCTTTTTCATTCTATTTTAATAATGTATGGCAAGTTTCAAGTTATCAGAAACTAGATAACAACTGGCATGCAAATTATGTCTGCTTAATTTAAAGCTCGTTCAGGATTCACCACAATAGTTCACTGCGTTCATCAGTTTTATTATTCTTTGCCTTTGTTTTCATTATTTGTTTTACTTAGTTCCCATTAGGTTTCATAACAAAAAGAAATATTATCCAATAGGCTCGTTACTTGAAAATTGATCATATTTCATACTTTCTAAGCATCGATATGTCATAAAAACCAAAAACGATAATTTGTATAATTACTTTAAAGGGAATTTAGAAATGATTAGTTTGGTCAAACGGCGGCTATTCAAGCGAAATTAGCTACTTTATTAAGATTAGATGAGGGGATTAACTGTTGATTTTTTCAGGATATGCTTTCTTTAACAGGGTACCTGTGCCAAAATCAATACACTTCTTTGGGAAATTCGCTTAATCTACGCTGGCCCATTCACATATAATTGTTATATTGATTCAGAACGTTTACAAAACTTTGTGAAGAGGAAATCGAACCTTGTTATAGTTTACAACAAGCCTGTTTTCCCCCTGTATTTCATAATTTTGCAGATCTAATGAATATCTATTGATAACAAAAACTATGACGCGGCTGCATACCAAACGCTATTGTTGATAAATTGTTATTCAGTGTAAATATCTATTCTAGAAACTGTTCGTACTGCATTGTCGTAAAATAATAGCAGAAAAATGGCCAATTATCGCATGGTTTTCACGTGTAAAATTTGCTGCTTTTGAGAATCATGCCATTATTAAGCAAGGAGTCTCTAATTACTATAGCCCCTCCCTTACATGATCAACCGTCGCTGATTACTCAACAGTACAAAAACAACAAAGTAAATGATCTATTGGCAGATTTTCTTTGGCCCCTTAGAACGTTAAATTATTCCATCTCAGAAGAACTATTAATATTTTATAACATAACTAGGTTCTTTTGGTATATGAAACTCAGCTGGTGTATTAGTTGAAATATTAAAGGGAACTATTTTATTGAAATCGCTTTAACCCCATACTACAGGCAGAGCTACATGAAGACAATCGTCTGCAAAAACATATGTTTTAAATTGAAAAAGGTATTACGGCATTACTCAATAATATTACAGACTCATATTTTTCAGTGAAAGTCTGACTTTTTCGTAATCTGAGTTCATCCGTTTAACCTCGGAATTCAATTCAAACGACCCATTTACAAGGAACTCTAGTCGTCACCAACATGCATTTCCACATTTGACGCGTTTATGATAATTGTTTTTAGAAATCACAGTGGGTGAATGTAAAATTGTAAGTAATTATTTCAATGCAACACTTACTGTTTTGGCATGGGTTAGGCTCGCACTCGTAGATCTCTTGGTCACAGTTCCGGCCTGTGAACCCAGTTTTACACTGACATACGTAGGATCCTTGACCTTCGATACAAGTGGCGCCATTTTTACATGGGTTTTTCTCGCAACTTTCTGCGGCAACGTCGCAACGTGAGCCAGTGAAGCCAATTTTACACGTGCAAGAGTACCCTGAACCGATATCTTCACACGAACCTCCATTTAGACATGGCTGGTTGAGGCAGTCATCGATTTCCCGCTCACAATTCGTTCCCGAATATCCTTTCGGGCACGTGCAGTCGTAACCACCACTTCCGGAATTCTGACACACGCCGCCATTTTGACATGGGGTATGATGTGTACAGTAATTCAAATCTGAAAAAGTAAATAACAAACTTCTAAGAACGTTTTCAAAGTTTTGAAAGTATTCAAATTACATGGAATAAGACTTTTTTCTTTTGTTACAGGACCATTAACCATATGATTCACAAATAGTGATTGATGCATCATCAGTTGGTAGCAAATTAATGAACAGATTATGAGGAATGTATTCAAATATTTTTTCAGCATTTAAACTGAATAGACTCAGTCAATATTCTAATTTCAGATGCAGACGCACGAAATGCAATCGTCGAATTAATTGAAATGTAAGATTGTTTTAATTGATTTATTCATAAGTATGGTGCACCCATACCTTTGTACACACCCATATTACAAATATAAATGATTTGTTCTCTCACAAAAGTGGAGAAATAACACGACAAATTACATTCCCGTGGACACAAGTGACGCCAAAGTTAATTATTTATATGAATTAGTTCAAAGTAAGTTCGTGTAATAGCTACTACAAACTGGGCATGCTGTTGTATACATGTTCGTTATTAAAGAGTTCCTTTTCGCAATTTAAGCTAATACACGGAATTGAGAATTAAGAAAATAACTGTTTTTAACTTCTAATTAGATTCTATATTAAGAACCATTGGCGTCTGAAAATCCACAAGAATTATATATTGTACATTTAAATTTCTTAATAGTACTGTTCTTCCATGAAAATGGACTTTTTACTTCTTAGTCTATAAACAAGTATGGAATTTTTCTCAATGTTCGGCATCATACAGCAAATACGCGACTTAATAATTGGGACAGCTTAAACAGATAAAAAATTTAGTTCCAAGATATTTTACTAGAAGAAAAAAAAAGCAGGTATAAAGATATTGATTGTTCTGGGCAAACTCTCTGCCTATCCGGGTAGAACATTAGCTCGCCTTTTATGATTTCATCGTCGGCTGGGGACTTGAATAAATGTTCAATTCTGCTTAAATATTCATTGACAATGTAGCAACTGACATTTTACGACTTGTGAAGCCTTTGAGGGTAAACACGAGGTATTTTACTTGTTTTGATATGCAATAATGCTTCAACAAATCTTTATAAATTGTATTCTTAGAACATTGAACTTGGGCAGAAAAAAAAGAGCGTTGAAATAATACCAAAAATAAACCATGTAATTTGTTATAAATAATCTAATGAGGTAACAGATGTAGGAGGCTAATAATAAACATACCTAGTGTACAAAAGAGTCCGCCCCAGCCTTCAAAACATTTGCATTCCCAGGGTTTCGAACAATTTCCGTTACTGCATCCGGGGTACTTAATACACTTTGAGCACAGTGGTCCCTCCCAGCCGCTTCGACATCTAAAATAAACAAACGTAGGCATGTAATCACACATGATAGCAAATCTATATTACAAAGAATATATACATGTATAGGGCCACCTTTAATAGTATGATAGTATTTATAGTGCACCAGTGTCATTTATTTTTATGCCAGACATTTAAATAAACTACATTATTTTTTGTCATGAAGTACTATCAAATTAATCACAGATCCCCCTTCTCTTAACACTACTGTTCGGCAAAGTTTTTTGCAAGTCTACACCGTCTTCTTTGTTCCTGAATTTTTAAGGTGTTAAATTTGATCTTGGGTAGAGCGCGAAATAGCGGAATCTGAATTGCAAACAATAGCAATTACGGCATTTTACACGATTACTACCTCTAAATACGCCACGTCTTGTTCGCAATAAGAGATTTGATTAGGTTTTTGTGTATTGCTTTTCTCGTAACAAAGGGAATCTTGGGCCTGAGATAGGGATATTTGTCGAAGTTATCCGAACCGCATCGCAGTAGTAGCGTTTATTGTTGGCGAATAGAAAACTGTTGATTTTTATACAAATTTCAGTCGAACAGCTGTTGATTCAGATCAAATTGTTGAAACCCTTTGTGCCGAAATTTTAACAAATTCGTTTCTTTGGATAAAAGATTAACAGCGACTTATAGGCAAATACTTCCGTGCAAATCGCACTTTGTTCGCGTGCCGCTTAAGCAAATAATATACAGAGGCACTGGTTTAAATTGTCATCTTAAACGGTATATAGATAAAGAATTAAGTATCACTTTAGTTAAGCTTGTCTCCATCACCTTGTAGTGTTTATTAAGTGCTAAGGGCATATTATTATTGTAAGACTTTATCTTAAGATATATCATGATTATAATGAGATACGTGATAAAAGCGGTGCTTAGGGGCCCTTTTGAAAGTTTGTATACTTTGATATCTTATTTGTATTTATCTTATCATCAAAAGTGTTGACAAATGTAAATAAAATAGAAATGACTTTTTTCTTTACAATCTTTCTCTATTTCTATCTTTACAGTAAGTTTCGTAGTGGCGCGTAACAAAATGCTTTCATATTTTCAAATTCAAAACATTACCGTATATTGAGATAGATTTAAAATTAATTTGTTGCATACACTTTTCAGTACTAGTAATTCGGTTCAGGATTGAAATTTTGGTATTCATACTCACTTGCATTCGTAGGGCCGGTCACAGTACCCATGCTGATCCTCGCAACCTTCCAGGCAGATTGCTGCAAAACAAAAACACAGGAATGTAGAGTCGACAAACAAAACAAACAAATGGCAAAAAAAAAATCAACAAATAATAACAAGGACAAAATGTTCTTATGGCCACCTCTATATCAAAATTTCCTAACGGCTCTGACTGTAAACTAGGATCGTTTACGAAACGGTAAAATCTAAAGTCGCAAATACATTTAAACTATCAACTAATCAAATACAGTAATTGATTATTAAGTGTATATGAAGAAAAAGTTACAAAATTTCCTGAATCACTCGTAAAATACTTTATTCATTTACACAGCAGCAGTTTCAAATTGATTGTTTGAAATATTCCAAACAATTGCTTTATTATAGACCAGAAAGAAACATGAGGGTCAATATTTGTTTAAGAATGGTCAAATATTTGGTCAACCTAAGCATTCGGCTTCGATCAAACGTCTGTGCCAATTTCCAGAGTGACCAATCGGTCCATTTATTATACCAATGGCCCAACAGTTATCAATACCAGCAATTTTATAACATATTTGAAATATTTAAACTCCTTCGGGCGTAAAGTTTTATATATTTGTTTAACACGACGTTTTATTTGTATCTCCTACACTTTTTCCTTTACTAATGACCCTCAATTACGATTATTGCCCCAAAGTCAAATAAACTGAAGGACTTGAAAATCAAGCCAAAAAAGTCACCAACTTTATTTTTAAAGATAGCGATCACCAATGCATAAAAATCAACAGTACACATCAATAACTTTAGGGCAAGCAATAACTCATTGGTACAATGGCTGTTGTGGCCATTGTTAACATGTCAATTATGTCATTTAAATGTGCTGGAATTTCAACAACATCTGCCTCTATCAACACTGCAGACGAAACGTCAACCTGTAGAAAGCCACCTTTCAATAAAAACCCGAGTGCCTTAATTACCCAACACACCTCAAATTCAGTTTATTTCAAAAACACGTTGTTATTATTTTTTGGTAATAATTTATGCGCATCCGATTATTGAATATTTTAATGCGCGTGTTGTTGTGTATACACAGCGTGTAAAAATAGATGGAAAATAGGTTACTAGTATTCTGCATATAAACAAATCGAATTTCAGGCACTTGTGTTTATTTCTTGTCATTTTTTCCTTGTTGTCATTTTACGCCGTGCATTTCTTCCCCCTCTCTCTCTACCTCTTTTCAATCAAAGGTAGCGTATGATATGCGTGTTACCGCATTTCATGCGCGCTCGTGTGACAGGTGAAAATCTACTTACTAGCAAAAAAATTACAAAATGCTGGTTCGTTTCCATGGAATCGTAATCACTGTTATAAAGAACCACTAGGCTGTTTACCAAACTTTTCTTTACAGCGTTCATCAACAATCATTTCATTTGAATAGAAAACAGTCTTCTTTTATTTTATGAACAGTTTTCAATGCCGGATTAAGGTCGGGAATCAGAACACTCTTTTAGAATATTGACAGTAAAGAAACGATGTTTTTTTCTTCAGTTTACGTTGTTATGTGTATATCTCATATCTTGTTCAATATGTTGCTGTAGTAATGTGTACGTAAAACTCGAGCCTTGTTACTGTTCACTTATAATTTATTGATACACTTAAAAGCAACATCTGCTTCAGGTTTCTATATAGCCTTTGGGGACTAGTTATGTTTTGCACGAACGAAAAATATTTTGTCCTCCGTATACCTTAGTTACCTCATGCCCCACGTTTTTAAATATACATATATAAAGGAAATTAAACAAAATTTAAATTTAGACAGCAGACGATAATTTTATCAAAAACACCTGACTTTACCCGCCAAAATTTATAGGTTATGTAGTAAGGGAAGTTAAACGTAATAGTAATCGGTTGTTTACGCTAGAGTAAATGCTGTCATCTAATATAAATCTAAAAGTCATTTTTTGTCAAACTATTGCAATTTAAATGAAATGTAAATATGTCTAAATGAGAATCCGCGGTACATACTGAATAACTTATTAAATAGCATGAGCCTGTCGTTTTAATTATAGCGGTTGCGTTTAATTTATCTGAGTTTAATTTTACCCACGAATAATCAAATAATCATAACATCGAATAACGAATTTTGAAATAAACTCCAATTCCCCAGGCGTGCTTACGAAAACAGGCCTAAATCGACCCGAGCTTCGCGAGTAAACAGGTAAAAAAGTATGTCATTGGAAACAGCTGGTACTGCCTCACGAGCATATTGAAACGGGTTTCAGTTATCTTTGTAAGTCTGGAGATTTGTCGTCTGCTAATGTTTTGAATTGGAATAAAGGGTCACAGATAATTGGTGACTCATGAAAAAAATGTTCTAGTATTTAATAAATTCTAGTACAAGACTTGTTGAAACAGTAGCTCACAGAATCGAATGTCTAATACAATCGATTATGTTCCAATTCTTTAAATGAAGATTAAATATTTTCTTTTTTATTCATAAGAAATTGATCGTTAAAGTTGATTCTACTATATAAGCTAGCGTTCATAGGGGAAAAAATGGTGTCGTCTGCTGTATAACAGGGTAAAGATTAAAGTTAAGACGTTATCTTAAAGACAACAGATGTTTTCTTTGGAGCGCAAATACCTTGGTTACCCAAGAATATGTTCACGTCCATACAAGAAATTTAATTATCGTCTGCTACCAATGATGAAGGGTATTGTGTTTTAGGAATATTCTTTAATATCTCGGAACTGATTAACAGATCAGTAAAGACTAAATGGTGAGATACGACCGATTTCCAGGCTATAATCTCCGTGTTTAATGTTTCTGTACAATGATATTGGCGCCAAGTTACCACTTTTAAAGGGCGGATAATAAGAAACAATTATTCGTTCAATTATAGTCCAATCACTACATGTAAAATACATAATTTTTCAACATAGACATTCCTTCCAGACACATTGACGAAAATTTATCCTGGATTAAGACATTTCGAAAAAAAATACCGATGCACAACTGTGAAATACACAATCAGGCCGGAATTGGCACAGAAAGAAAATATGCTTTAGATCGCGATAGGATTAAAGAGTACTTCTTTGTAGCTTGTAAACAAACACTCCAAAACTGTCAGTATATGTCCGACAGTGGATTAACACATAAACATGTAATTTAGAGGTAGGATCCAAAAAGAAGGTGTCTATTCTTAAAAGACATGTCCATTCTTAAACATGGTGATAACATTAAATTCATAAGATAAGCTCAGAAAAAAAACTTGTTTGGGATTTGGACTTTTCCAACTCGATACCCTTACTATAGAGTTTGCAGTATAGCCTTACCTTGGTCACAGTATGCTCCTTTCCAACCAGCCATGCAAACTTTCGAGCCATCGTCAGCGCACGTGTAATGGCCAAAATGGTCATCACGTGGTCTGCACAAGGTCGAGCAACCGGCGTCATAGTAGTCGCTACTGCATTGAACCCGGTATTTATACTCGAGCTCTGTTTGGTTGGTTTTATGAATAAAGTTGCTCCATTCTGGTCCCACTCTCAGTTCACGCTGCACGGCTAGACGAGAAATACGTTCTCTTGGACTTCCTGTAATTAAAAATTGAAAATCTTATTCAAGAAAAATGGAAATGCCATACACCAGAATCGGATGCAGGAAGTTTAGCAGACGACGTGTCATCGTCTGCTCCTGTCAACACACAGTACATTAACTTTTTGAGAAGTCCGGTGAAAAGAAAGCAAAATGTTCTTTTCAGTAACTGTCCTAATTTGTCGTTTGGTCGGACAATCAGTCGTATGGCTGGAGCGTGCGTCATTTATTACATTTCTTTTTAGGTTAGTGTCAAAAACAACTTATTTGTAAACCCAGACGCCATTTTAATCATGACCAATGACCATTCATTAAAACTGTGAGTAAAAAAAATTGAAATATTTCAGTGTTTCTTTGCAGCAAATCATTTGGCCTTGAATTTACCTTATGAAGCAGAAGACGGGTAATAAATTAACTTAACAGGTTCATCATAAACAACAATAATGTCGCAGACGTTCATTTTAACTTTTCGTGATGGTCAATTAAAAGTAAACATAAATAATAAAAGAAAATCATTTAAACCGTGAGAAACTGCTCTTGACACGGGTGGAGAATGACTTTTTCAGAGAGATTGCGGGATGTAAGCGCGGGGATTGGTTATATCGTACGGGTAATTGAAGGTCGAGGGAGTAATTTAACTTTGTCTTGTTTAGCGACTCGGCTTTACATTTGGATGTGTTGCAGTGCCCTTGTGAAGAAGCTTCAATTACAGCGTTCCATTTGAGAGAAACAGGTGACGATCTAACTGAAGAGCACTATTCAATTACCACAATAGAAAGCGGTAATTAATGTGATACCTCAAAATTGATCCATTTAACACAATCATAAAGCGAGTCGACAGAATAATAAGAATAAAGACTACACACATTTTGAAATGAGGTTTTTCCCTTCACTGCTTTGCTAGCAGAAAATAGCATGGGAAAATTGCGATACAAGATGCGTAAATTTTTATCAGCATTGTGAAAATCTGTCTTGTCAGATATGCTTGTTTAGATGGAGCGATGCCAGTCTGCGAATAATGTTCCGGGGGATTTGACCTGGATCAAAGTGGCAAATGGCCGCATCAAAGGGTTGTTCTAACCAGACTTATACATGAAGCTGACATGTTCTCACAGGTATGTCAGGGAAACACAGTCTATGAGCATTATAATAGAGATCGAAGTAATAAAACGGTTCATTTATTCAGTATGGCACGTTGGTAATAAAAATAAAATCCGACTCCACAGGTTGCCCCTTATTTACGAAACGAACATTATAAATTTTGAAGAGAAATCAACGGAAAAGAAAACGTGACCTAGAGATACTGCTAGGGTCATGGATTTGTGCGGTCATAAATTGAAAACCACAGTTCCATAATTTATTTGACTTCAGAGAGCGGGAACCCGCACCTCAGTCGATTTGTGACGCCAGCCTCTTTTGTGACACACACTGGATGACTGCAGTGTGAAAACACGACAGGTGTACCGTATATTGTTGCTTTTATTACCGAGCAAATGATGGGCCTTAGTTTCAAACAATCACGCGCAATGATTGCCAGGTATGATTAAGATGCAACAGGTAATAGTCTCGTCTGATAATACACTGCTCGACCTCAGGCTCACAGTTACTCATGCAGTGGTCATTACCAGTGAGAAAAGAGCCAATTTAAATCTCATGAAGTTAACTAAAGACAGTTGTCATTCGAGACATCTGTTTATTTTTACGGACTCGCTTTCTCCATTAACCAATTTTCTAATTGTGAACCCCAATTTTCGTCACTGACTTGTAAAAGATATAGAAAATAATGAATGAATCAGATACAAAATTAGAGACAATTTTTAACAGTCTCAGACTTTTAACATGGCGAATTAGCGTTCTGCGAGTAAAAGCCGCCGCTTTGTAAATTCCTGAAATTCTTAAACGTTTCTCAAAGTACTGATAAGCATCAAAGGTGTTATAAGGCTTTAAGATAACGCTGAACTTGACAATGTTTCTATCTTGGTCAACAGAATGTTTGCTACATGTAAATGGAATACTAAATTATTAATTATTATGCAAAGAAAAAACTGTCGCCTGCAAGCTGCAAGCACTTGGTGGATATCCGGCACATTCAGATTTAAATGTACATCACAGAAATGATATATGTCATCTAATATATCATGAAATCCCTACTTACATAAATAGGGAATTATATTGATGTTTGTAGTGCACACATGCAGTTGCATTATTTATTTTCACCTGGATATAAATTGTGCATTTTAAAGCAGCCTGTCGCATTCTGCAAAACGTGTTACAGGAAAAAAATGGAAATAGGCGATAATAAACTTAATATCACCTATCACAACGGACTTGTAATGCTTTTACCAGCGTTCCGTTGCCCCTATTAAACAAACACATTACGTTAAAGTATGACGTAACTCACGTCACCTTCAATATTGTCCAGTTACGTTAGAATGTGTCAAGGTAATTATTCGGCGTGTCACGTGGGTGTCCGAGACTGGTGATTTATGGGTAACTTGTCACTGTCAACTTTAATTTCTCAATTATCAGTCTGATTATATTGACAGAGTAAACATTAACTGCTTTGTTTTTAAATTTCTCCGTTATCAAACGTCTAGCATCAATTTGCTTGTATTATTACGAGTTTAATAAATATCATAATAAGAAATAAAATAAGTGTCGTCTGCAATAGCACACCGATTAGGCTGGAACTCTCTGTAGTGCTATTTAATAATCTTTAAGTCTCGTCTGCCATTTAATGGACAAACGACAGTCGAATAAGACGGAAACTCCCTCTCTACAACTATTAAAAAACACGAAAAGGAAAATCTGAAACGACAGGTTTTAACGTGTTTTTGATGGAATAAAGGGCTCACTCATTTCTCATAGAGTGTCCGTTTCACAATAAACCGTATCAAATATGATCCCATAGAAACCACAAAGCGTGATAAAACGGTTTCTGCAATTTGAAATTGTTGAAAATGTATCAAATTGCCCCCCTAAACATGCTCTTTCTGGCTGTAAAATTATCACAAACATGCATCAGACTTGTAGCTTTATCAACGGCGATCATTATCAAGATATACAAAACATGGGTAAATGAAAACCCGATGACCATTGTTCATTTGTTAATGAATCGACAGAAACAATGAGTACACTTATAAGTCTATATCAATTAGCTAACGAACCCCTGAGTCAAAATGAAATCTTAAACTTAATTTAGGAACGTAGCACTCCCAATCGAAAATGTCAACAGATTCATTTTCGGATACATTCAGACTTTTTACAGAGGTTCGGGGTCTTTTAAGCTACAAGTTAGAACTGGAAATTCTAGGTAATTGACTTAAGAAATTGCAAAAAAGACTACCTAAAAACACGTGATATTGCAAAGCTGTAGAAACAATTAAACAATTTATAGATGAAGGTTCAGTAAACGGCATGCGAGTGTTTACATAAATTATAAGAACAAGCAAAGTTCACATGCAAACTTGGCAGCAGATATTCGGAAGTGACCTGATTCCAAGTAAACCTGTCCAAACAGTTTATGATCAATGTTAAATAGATTTACCTGGAGAGGTAAAAAACACAATTTTTCATGCAACATTTCTCAAGGAAATCTGAAAGCATATTTAATCAAAGGTCTACAATTGATTGACAATTAATCGATCAATAACGGTCCTCGATTCATTCTCAGCAACCTTACCAACAGGCGAGAACTCGTGACCTAGTTCTTAACTGTCGTCTGCATACTGGCAGATAAAACTTTTCATCTGTTTTTTTCTCACGGTCCTTTACACTTTACGAGGACAAATTTAAAATCTAATATTTCACTGTTTTAATCTATACAAAGAGTTGACTAGCGGACTCTTCAGGGGTCCCAATTTTATGATATATACCTTATTATTTCGTAACGCCGGCCAATCGCATTTTAAGTAGATAGTGCATTTTATTTCAAAAAAGGTGTTACTTCTTAGCGTTTAATGTCTTTGAACGCCGAAATTTGAGAAATTTGCTTTTATTTGCCTTGTTTACACAATTCGTAAGTCCATGTGACCTATTCGGGGACCGTTGCATCTGTCGTAGAGTATTTGATGGCTGAACGCTTTGTAAGATAAGAGATAGGCCTAAATAGCTGAACAAACAATCATACTTCAGGACCTTACCGTAACACCATTTAAGGTCCTAATTATGATAAGACTGAAGAGTTTCTTGCTTTAAAGTTTACATGGCATACAGAGAATTTCGTCAGACTTTTGAAACCATTTCCTAACCATGAACACAGATATGTACGTAACAGCATTAGAGAAAAGTCGTGTGTCAGTCGGTCAATGATAGTGGTGCTGTTGACAAAAAAACATCCTTGAAAATTTCCTTTCAAAAGATTACTACCGTCACAAAGATTTTAAAATAAAGAAGGGTCAGATTTCAACAAGAAAGTATTAGTATCTTTCATCAGCACAATCACCTGTTACCAGGAGATTGATAAAGAAAAAAAGCAACTTTGCGAATGAGCAGACGACACGAAGAGATACATTTAAGGCAGACGATACGACAAAGCAAGTATCTGTAAGTAGCCATGTCGTAAGTTAAGTGTAAAACTGAAGACATTAAGTGACGATAAAATTAATTCAGAGCCAGTTTAAAATTCCACAAAATCTTGTGTGGTTTTCATCGCGTAATTGAACCATCCGGTACGGTGTGCATATGGCGTTTTCCACATTCATAAACTCTAGCTAGTAAAATATTAAAATATAAATTCTGTTTAACGCTCGAGATCTCCCACCACTGGCGCACTTCACGTCTAGAAACTGGCAGATGGTTTGAAGCTTTTTAACCACTGGTAAAATAATTACACATCAAAACTGCTTCGTGACCCCAAAATCTCCCCTTTGTAGTGTTCATGTGTATCGGGTACCCGTATGCACAAAGGAGGCTGAAAAATCACTTTTTAAACATTTAAGGCACATTCTGTAGTAGTAAAATCTGTTTGAAAACTGTTGCACATTGTAATGTAGAAAAATGTTGATGTTTACGATTTAATCCAGCAAGATTTTGGCGAAGAGTTAGAATCAATATTTTGTTAAAGATTCATCTCAAGGGTTTTAATCCATCCACTCGTTCAGTCCAATTCACTTTGATTGTCCGAAAAAAAACCTCTTTGATAAAACTAATTCAGATGTATTAAAGTCACTTTGTTGTCTGATTTCAAAAACTTGTTTGTTCCGCGTTTTTCAAGCACATTTCAATATCTTTTTTTTCACTTTGGACTTTACTTTTTCATAACATATATTGTTAATCAATCGATGTATAGTTTTAATTAATTCCATTTGCTTTGAGTTTTAGGGGAAAAAACTTTCCTGTGGTGAACTAAAGGTATGTTCCAGCACCAAACGCCGCGAGAGGTTTTTACCTAATTCACTTTGACATTCATGATGGCCTTCTGTTTATATAGAGGGCTACTTTTCATAGTTACCACAATTTTTCAAATTCTTCATATGTGCTATGCACTTCACAAAGCTTTTAAAGCACGGACCCGCCACATTTGATCAACATGGGGTTACTTGTTAAGAATTCTGTTTGTACATACACAGTAATAATTCCGAACTCTGGTATCTTTTCTACAAAAACCTTGTGTTCACTTTTTACACAAACAACCAATTTACTATCCACTTTTAATCCAGAAATTTGTAAATCCACTGAATCACACTCAACATTTCACGTTCATATCCAAAAATCTTCACATAAACATTGCGAATTTAAAATCCAAATATGTATTCAAGTTTAAAATCCTCCTTTGTGCATGTCCTCCGAAAAAACTATCCTCTCGAACTCAACCCAACCCCTACCCACCCTGACCTTGACCCCCAGCGTAAGACCTTAAATTAGAGTTGACCTTAACATTTTAAGATACTTACCAGTTTCAGGTGATCTTAAAGTAACATCGTGCCAGGCTTGAATTATGATTGAAAATGTTCCCTGAAAAGAAGAAAACATAAATCAATCAATTACTCTGATACAAATCCTGATTAAAAAAATAACGTTTAGGGGTCAATACGAAAACAATTACGAATTTGCTTTGAACTTGGAACTGATAAATCATTTACAGTACAGCATTGACTATTCTTCAATCCGTTTACCAGAGGGTAATATGATTATTAGTGGATGAATGTGGAAAAATGCAGATTGGATACATATTTCATTAGAAGCAAAAAACATGTTGGTTTTATTGAATAAGCGAAAAAAACACCGTTCTACTCCCGTTTCGACAAGCTGTTTCATACAGCTTATGGTGTTCCCAAGTCCAGATCGATATTGTTTAATACAAAAATAAAAATGACTAACTTATGTTATACTATATAAGATATTTATAATTTCGAGATGATAAAAAAACATCAACAAACCGACACAGCGACGAAAAGAAACGTAAGAAAAGTATTACTTACCGGCCAAGAGATATTAAAATGGAACAGAAACACATTGTTGAAGCCTTCAAGAGTTTCAAAATTCACATTATTTCCTCCTAATACATTAGTCATTACATATCCAAGAAGACACTTTTCTTTACTTAAATCCGGTGGAATGTCGACCATATAATTAGTTATGCAGATTGTAAAAAACGTATGACAAGGTTCCGTGCACATTGCTCCTGAGTGACCCATGTTCGAGTTTTCATAAACTCCATTGCAACAATTTCCTTTATAATCCAAACCGCGCACATTTGTAAAGGATGATAGCCGTAGTTCAAATACACCTGAGCAAAGTACCTGTAAAATAATAGAAGTAAACATTATCAGGAACTGCTATGATTCCAAGTTTAAATAGTATTATCGTTACTTTATTGACAACATTGTTAACTTAATATTAAAGCTAAAACGACAAAGGGAAAAAATCGAACAATAATATGTTTGTGAAAAGTCATTCTTACCTTTGGTAACAAAATTAGAATGTGTAAAATCCCAAGAATAATTAGTGTTGCAGCTTTTCGTAACTTCATTTTGTCTGTTTACCGTACACTTGGCACCGGTACAGTATTCTGATATTGGCTTTAACCCTCAGCCTCGTTCCCGTGTTAAGCTCCGCCTACCACATTGATTGGCACGCTGTAATGGAGAAACACTAATGCTTTATCGTAAAATTTAATAGTATTTGATAAACGTAAATCCAGTTTAAAAAGGATTGCATTCGCGGATTGACATTAAAACAAAATACTGATTATAAACACACGCGAACACAAGAGAAAATGAACTTAATCCGCTGGTCTTGTACCATTTAACAAAGCGTCAGCGAATATGTAAGTGTTTTACAGATTAAACAGTAATAATTGAAAAGCTAAAGTTGTCCTACTGTTAAACTTGACAACCGATGCCAGGACTTTGTGTGAAAGCAGAAGCTATTCGGTTATCAGAGAACTTTTCTAGTCCATATAGATAAGACTGTTATTGGCACGCGCGCGCCCGTGATCTGCTCGCGCCGAATACATTTCGTAAACTGAACTCGTCTCTCTCCCATTGCAGTTTTATTAAAAAGCAGAATTTAATGTTTTGAAGAGAAAATATTGACGGGAGTTTAAAGGAGCGTGAAATCAGCAAGGATTCGGTTGAGAATAGCGCATGGTATTGGCTGTTGCGAACAAAGCAGGCCCGTTCGCTCGGCAGGTAAAAAACATTACACTTCACTTATTTCAGTCTTTGGATTGAAATCACAAATGTCACATCTGTGTCCGTCATAAGACTGTACGGTCATTAGAAATGAACGGTCAAAACAAATGGTAAAAAACACAGAAAAATACTAATACTAAATTTTATTAAGTTAGATAAGCCGATTTTACTGAGTATAGCTGAAGTTTAAATATTGCATAAACTGTTTCCTAGGTGAATTGCGATATTGTATTTTTGGAGGTGAATATCCACCATACCTTAATTTTGAGATGAATTGGGGTCATAAAATATTCTTTGTACCTTCAGCTGTCGTTACACCAAGCACCTGCCTCTTTTGTGGATGGTTATTCATATTTAAATTGATTCCTTATATGGAGAATACAGTCGCGTGGCTCCTAAGCAACGGGGCATATAATTTCACCTGGACGCGTGCCGTAAAAGTAATCAAGGTAGATAGTCAAAAAGAAACTTAAAATAGAAATTTTTGACTGCCGGTTATAAACTTAGACGGTTTAATGATCAAGATGAAATATCTATATAAAGTCTTGATAACGCATATTTTCAGTTGAGATTGGTAAATGGTTTATCGTCTGCCATATACGAAAATTTGGCGGGACTTTGTGTATTGTCATACCACGTGGGTTGACATATGGAAGGTCCACCTGTTGTTGTTTTGATAAGCTGTACAAAGCTAAAGAAATCTGAAATCTGTCCCAAAATGATGCACTTGTAGTTTTGTAGTGTTTACAATGAGACTACTAACGATGTTTGCTTCCAGATTACACAAGAGGTAATCGATAGTGATCGATGAGTTATCAGACACGATTGGTGAAGGTGCTGAACCTCATCTAGCGAACAATGCAGTGGTGTGATATAAACAACTAGGCAAACAATTGGACCAGGTGCCTGTGCCTGATAGTGCTAATTATGACATTTCACTTATTTGATTTGAATGTATTGTCGTACTTATCAAAGGTAAATAGGGGTATAAATGTATAGGTAATAGACATAATCAGCACGTGCTAGTTTTGATATAGGTAAATTATCGCTACTGTTCGGGGTTTTATGGGCTGATGGTGTAACCGATAAGGTGCACAACTGTTAAACGGCATAGAGCGACCATTGGTAGATATGTATCGCCTGGTGGGTGACCGTCGCCACATTTAATAGTAATAATAACCCTCTGTAAAACTACATACTGTGATACAACGTAAGTAAATATAGTATAGTATATACTTATGATTTATATACTACAGTACATTATATTATACTGTCATATCTATACAAAGTTTACAAGCTAAATTGTCCATTTAATAATAAATTTAAAGACATCTGCAAAAATATGTTTCATTCATAAGCGAACATTTTTGTCGTGTGAGATTGTCGTCTGAAGTCAAAGGGGGACAAATCTTATAACCAATATAACTCAATTTACAGTCATCATTTGAAAATATCAATAAGAATAGATTAGGAATAAACAGTAAATGTTATAAAATAAACTTATCTCCTATTATCTCAAAATTAAATGATTTAATTATAATTATATACATATTTATGCTGATATTTCAAAATGATAACAAAACGTTTTAAAGAAAATTTAAAATGTTTTTATCAAAATGTTCAATTATTGTAGTGTCGATTTTAACCTTACCTCTTAAACATGTAACATGTTTATTGATTATCTACATACATGTACATATAAGCATTTAACATAAATGTTACATTATGTTTATCTTTTTATCAATCAGTTGACAATTACATTTTTTATTAGAAATTGATAATGTTATCTTTACTGTTACTGTAACGTCGATACACTTGTGTATTTTTACTATACTTGCACATAACGTTATAAGTATACTGTAGTCAAAACTAACTAATGAACTAAAAATGAAAGTAACCTCATTCAAGGTCACTAGGTGCTAAGAATACTACTATGAAAAAAATATACATGTTCATTTACTTACATAAAAATTGATAAACTCCAATTTGTCGAATAATAATGTCCACACAAATTCGATAAATTCAAACAAATTAAAGTTGTCTAATCGTAAATGATAACATTACATTCAGTTATGTATTCCAATTATATTATAATTTGTTTCGTTGTCGTGTGCCATTATACATGCGATTTAAGAGATACCTGCCAATCTTGACAGGTATCTCAACACATGGGCGGGGCTTAATGTGTACATTGGCCAATCGATATTGTCACGCTCGAAATCTCACGGGGATGTTCGCGTGCCAATACATACTTGAGTAATTCGCGCCAATATTTTTTTACATACAGTAACAGGTGAAAAATAAATTACCATACGATAATAAATTTCTTTTAATATTTCATATCTTTGTCCTTTTAAATAAAAATAAAGTTTTACATAACATATTCGGTTTCTACTCTAGCACGCGTGTATTAAGTAGATTTTTTCGCATATTTGAATAGATTGAGCAATTCTAAATAAAACCCACGGAAATCATGAAAATTAAATGCATTTTAACAGACGACCCTTTCAAAAGACAGGTGTATTCTATCACCTGACGGAAAATTGGCGATTTTAGATTTTTTCCCCTCACGGATGTTGTTGGAATTTTGAACAGGTACACTAGGTGGAAAAAGGGAGTTGAAAGAGATTATCCTTGATAGTTTACAACAATACAAAAAAATATGAAGGGCACATCATTATTTGCATTCATTTGTTATCGGCTACATCAATGGAGCTGGCTGGCCGTGCACAACAGGTGAATATTCAATGAAAGGTGTCGTCTGCTACAGAATTCGTCACCCTTGAGGCAACAGGCAATGAGGGGATTTTCGATCTCAACTGCATCCTTATATGCACTTTACACCAAATAAGTGTATTTGTAAATACTTTAGCTGATTTTTACGTGTTTATCAAGGCGCCTTTCTTAAATAGTGCATATAAAGGGCAGGTGCAGTGTGACGTAGGAAGGATAATAAAATTTTCCTCCTATGGAGCATGGCGCGTTTAAAGTTTTTATATGATTATAAAAGATACCATAACATAATTATTACGCCAGACTTTTAATTTATTTTTTTTAAAGATGATTTTCATTAGAAAACTTATATTTTTTAAAACAGACAATATGTTCTATGTGTAACTTCTCTTTATCTTTAAAATTTTAAAATAGTCAAACACGACGTAAGATTGTGATTCATAGCCCTTATTGATACTTGATAAACAAGTTAAATGTATATGAATGAACACGAGTCAAAATAATGAGAATAAAAACACCTTAATGTAAGAATAAGCGCTCTCAATAGATACATTTTACTGATTATGTTTTTGATAAACTTATGAACCCGAAAGACTTCAAAATAAGCGAAATCAATTTAGACGATCGAGTCATTGATTTGTGTAGAAGATAACGGGGTTCTGTTACAGAAGAACTAAATGGAGGAACATTCTCCCTACTTTTACAAAATCTTTAATTGAAAATTTACACAGAGCAGGTACAATAACAACTAGTGATTGTCACGGTTTATTTTGTCACGGTGAGGGGGTGGGGTAAAGTTTTTCGCTAGATTTGAAACGCTTGGATGTATGCGGTTTTTTCGTAAATATGCAAAACTATGCCTTTGATGCAACTTATGTGGATTTTCACGCTTGTCGGACAAAAGTTAACAGCTAGACAGTTGTCGGCATACTTTAACAACCTTACAAACACCATAAAACCCGATTGTGTAAGAGTGTTAACCATTGCTCTATTAAACCTTAAGCAATCATCGTCAAGCAAGGATTAAACAAATTTTAACGAATTTAATTAAGAAATTTAAACAGTGCTCCCGAATTCTGATATTATTATTATCCGATTTGGTCAGCAGGGGGCGCCATTTAGGTCAAAGGTCAGATTATCCCCGTCCAACAAGTAGCCCTTGTCGCATTTTAGACAAAGGGAGACGATTCAAACATTTTAATCTTGATTGACTGGCGCAGTATGATATTTTGATAATCTGAAATTAAATACGTTGTTTTGACACCTTTAAATAAGGGTAGCTAAACATGTATGGGAAAATTAATAAAATAAAATATTAAAATTGGTCACATTAAAGAACGCATTTTCATTGGAAAGTGTCTTTATTATTGTTTGACGCATTATCTATTTAAAAAATCACTCAAAGATATACTGACTGAGTATTTCACAGGTTTTATTTGACCTTTAATTAGTACATATGCATGACATAGGGAACCATATGGTTTGAGTAATTATGGTCAATTGTCTAGCAGACGACACGTGACAACAACATATCAGCTGAACACAATCTGTTCACACATTTGCCTAATTGGGCGTTAATTACCTTTAAATTTAATAAATGACATTCCTTAATTGCTAGGTGAATACATTTTTTTCTTTTTATTATGATTATTATTTTAATTTTCAATCAAAACTTGCCAAAGCTTCATTGTTATGCAATGTTTTGTTCA